TTTTTTTTTTGGGTATAGCCGGTTGGGTATACTCTTTAAATATATTAATTTTAAAAGTACAGCCGAGCGGCTATACGTTTTAAATATATTATTTCAAGAGCATAGCCGAGCGGCTGTACTATTTATAAAATAAAATAGAAAGGACCCGCCTAGGCCCATTTTTGGAAAACTTGCGTTTTTTTTTTTCAGATTTCTTTTTTCCTGGCAGGTCTGGCAGGTCTGGCATCTCTGCAAATACATCAAGCTAGGGTTTTAGCCACTCACGTTTATCAACAACGTAATGGCATCTTTGAAAATCAGTATTTCCCATTTTCTGTTTTGGTTTATGTTATGTTTGGTTGCTAGGAAGCTGATGATGAACAAATATTCGCTTACCTGAATATTCAGTTTCATGTTTCTTTTGTTGTATTGATTAGTTTTGTTACAAACTGAGCTGGTCTGGTTAACTGATCCAAAAGGAGTATGCTGCTTTTTGGGGCTCCAATTGTTGAGTCATCTCTTCTTTTGAAATTTTTCTTTTTAAATTTCATTTTTGTCATTTCTCAGTAATGTAATTTGGGTGAAATGCAGCTTTTGGATCCGTTAGATGGGCAAAAAGAGTAAATCAAAAACTCCCAAAGTAATATTGATGTTGCTAGTAGTGGGCCAAGGATTCGTCCCTATGAAATCTTAACATAATTGGTTGCATGTGTGGCCCACTAAAAAGTGGTTCCACATGAGGAGGAGTGTTGAAGAATACACAGAGTTCCACATTGGAAACTTAAATAATTAGAAAGTCCCATTTATTAAATGGTTCCACTCCTAATAACATCGAGGCCTTTTGTATAAAACCCCACACCTGCAAAATAGGTGGTTAAGTTGGGGACAATATCGATGTTACTAGTGGTGGGCCAAGGGTCCATCCCTCTGAAATTTTAACATGGTATCAGAGCAGATTGATTGATTAGGCCTGAATTAACACTTAATTTGTCGGAGGAGCAGTCCAACTCCTTATAAGCCCTTGCTAGGTTTCTCAACTTTCCAATGTGAGACTTTTTACTTTCACATTCTCACAAACATAACACTTAATTTGTGTCATTTATAATTATCTTTTGTTCTTGTTCTCATTTGCTATATCTGATGTTAAACATAGCTGTACTTATTTTTGAAACATTTGTGTTGCGTGTTGAGAAATTTTATTAAAACCTACCATTCTAGATGAAGTTATCTCTGATGTCGTTACATTACATTCTGATTGAGTTATACTTTGTTCATTTGTTTCTCATACAATTACATCAGATGTCAAGATCAAGAGCATTTCAATTATTGGCGGTGCTGACGGAACAAGTCCTTCCAAGATGAGGGCGTAAGTTCGAACTTTAATATTTTCTACCTAAGGCCTGGATTTCTTATATTGGTGTAGTTCGAACAAAATAAAGACAAACTGAGGCATGAAGCATGAAAAAAAGTGTTGGATAATATTATGCAGGAAAAGGAAAGTAAATCAGATGATTCAAAAGTTAATGAGTATAGCCTTTTATAATAAATACCACAGTATAGCCGGGCAGCTATACTATTTTCATGATAAAAAAGATCCTAGTATAGCAGCGGGCTATACTATTTATATTTTTTAAAAAGGGACCTGCCTGGGGCCTAGCGCCCATTTCCCCACGTGTAAAAATAGTATCGCTGAGCGGCTATACTATTTTTACATAATAAAAACCGTGGTATAGCCGCGCAGCTATACTCTTTTTATTTCTTTTTAAACACTCAGTGTAGCCGCACGGCTATACTATTTATAATAAAAAATAGTACCACCGCCGGGCGCCTTTCGTCAGCTTCGCCATGTGTAAAAATAGTATAGCCGTACTATTTTTTATAATAAAAAACCTTAATATAGCCGTGCGGCTATACATTTTAAGTATATTATATTTAATAGGGAAATATCTCAAAATGCCACACATTTTATAATTTTTTCTAAAAATACCACCCCTCCCTTAAAATTTAAAAACTACCACCTATAAATACGTGGGGAAATGTCTCCACAATGCTCTTCCTCCCTCAACGATGTCTGTTCATCCAAGCTTAACTCCACGGTTCACATCCACAAGGTACTGTTCATCGTCATTTTCTTAGAAATTTGGGGTTTTTGTGAATTTGGTTTAGGTTGTATGGATTTGTATGAAATTGGTTTAGGGGTTTCTTCGAAATTGGTTTAGGGTTTTAGGGTTTAGGGGTTGCTCTGAAATTTGTTTAGGGTTTATGGGTTTCTATGAAATTTGTTTAGGGGTTTCTTCGAAATTGGTTTAGGGTTTAGGGGTTCCTTGGTACACCACATCTTTCTTACCCTTTAATTCTACTGAGCATTGGTTTTTAGATGCTTGTATTAACTACAAACTTGCATTCTCTTTCATTAAGTGGAATGAATTTGAGACGTGTGCTATATTTTAACCCAAGCAATGACATTCTCAGCCTGTATAACTATCTAATAATATCTATTATATAAGAGCACGAGTTCGTTCGAGTGGTTAACGGTGTTTACAAATCTTGCCTTGCATCACCATCACATCCCACCTTAAATTACAGAAACATGACACCACAAAACCTCATGCTCCTTCCTCTTTCAACCCCTAAATTATCCATCGGATGCCCAATACTAGATGGCTGCTTGGGCGGTGGGATACCCTGCAACTCCATAACAGAATTGGTAGGGGAGAGAGGTTCCGGAAAGACGCAACTTTGTCTCCAACTTACGGTTAGAGCTCAGCTCCCACCCTCACATGGCGGACTAGGGGGCTCCTCCCTCTGCATATTCACAGAATTCAGCTTCTCATTTCGTCGATTGCAACAACTAGGCAACCTTTATCATGCATCATACCCCAACTTAATAGGGATGGAGCCATTGGAAGACATATATGTTCATGGCGTTCATGATGCTCAACAACTCATCCATGTCCTTCGAGACATACAAGCATTTATTGCCATTAATCACACCCGGTTACCTGTGAAACTCATTGTCATTGATTCCATTGCTGCATTATTCAGATCACAATATCAGACAACACCGACAGATTTGAAACGGTGGTATGAAATATTCTTCAAGATATCTGGGACATTGAAGGCTTTAGCAAATAAGTTTGGGTTGGCGGTGGTTGTCACTAACCAAGTGGTGGATTTTATTGGGCCACATGATGGAGTGAATGGGGTGAGGTTGGGAAACTTGGAGTGCCTGCACACATCAGGCAGACGGGTGAGTGCAACTTTGGGACTGGCTTGGGCACATTGTATAAATTCAAGGGTGTTCTTAGCAAGACATCTGCAATCTGTTGGGGTTAACAGTCGTAATGCTCCTTCACCAATTATATCTACTCAAACACATAGGACATTTGACCTTGTATTTCCCCCCATTTGCCCCATGCATCGGCTGAATTTGTAATAAGAAAAGAAGGTGTAGTAGGAGTATCACGGTAACTGTGTTATAATGGAATTCTAAGAACTTTAGTGTTTTGGATCCATTTGGAGTTACATTTTAGGCCCTTTAATTTCGTACTCACAGTTTACATTGCAATACCAATACCAGTACAATAAATGTACAATATAATGACAATCTGAAGGCAATAAAATTACAATATGATAGCGATACTGTCACAATAAATAGGGAACATAGCATGTTGTATAGCAATACAACCCAAATTATACAAATTTAACACAATTCACATTCAACAAACACGAAACCCACCACAAATAAAATTAAAGTTGACATTACCTAACAAAGCAACAGAAATCATATTGTCTAAGATACATTGCGCCGTGGAATATTATTTTTACAGGTGGTTTTATTGTGGCCTATGGAACCGCACCTTGAGCACTTTCTTGTAATGGTGCCCTCTCCTTGCGAGGGAATTTTTAGCTTCTTTCATCTGCCTGGCATGACCTTTGCCATGGGAGGCAGCACAACTCGACTTTGAATATGTTAAGGAATAACCCACATTGCGTGAGGCTGTACCGGGTAGATACTATCCGAATAAGCATCCAACCAAGTATTCCGAGTATAACACCGAGAAGCCTTCGAGTATACATTTAGTTTCAAGAAGCGGCAAACTACAACTACATGCTTGCAAGGTAGCTGCTTAAGCTAAAACTTTCTACAACTACAACTGTTGTTCGTCAAATCCACGAGGCCTTCCATATCACCGTCCAAAACATTAAATTGTACATTATTTAGTTTAACGACATTCATCCTTGCAGCATCCTCCAACCTATTCCTCAACTTCTTCTCACCAAAATTGGGGCACAATGTTGTTGTGCAATTCATGGCCAACTCACGACGTTCGATAAACCATTTCACAAGGAGATTAATAATTTCCCCTATCAAATGAACCACTGGCAGCATCCTTGCAAACCTAAGGAATGAGTTTATTGACTCCGCAATATTTGTTGTCATTACATTGTAGCGGCGTCCATCCATGTGAGCTCTAGACCACTTATGTAACCCAGCCTGTTCAATATATTGAGCAACATGTTCCTTTCTCTTGATCTTCCGAAAATGACAATCAAACTCAGCAATGGAATTAGATTTCGCAGCCTGCTCAAAGTGCATAAGTATTTGATCACGTTTTTTCAACTTGCAAGTGCGTTTCATGTTCCCCTTCATATGATAAAAGCATATGCCATGTTGCGCTATTGGAAAAACTTTGTTCCACACATTCTCTATGCTAACATTGCGATCAGAAATGATAACAAGATTGGGACACTCACCAATGACTTCATGAAGTTTAGTGAAAAACCAATGCCATGATGCATCCGTCTCCAAATCCCCGATCCCAAAAGCAAGAGGATATATATTTCGATTGCCATCGAATGCATTTGCTACAAACATAACATCCTTGTACTTGGATTTTAAATGAGTGGCATCCACGGCTATCACTGGGCGCATGGAAGAACAAAACCCTCTAATACATGCGCCGACCGCCATAAATAAATACACAAAGTGATTGTTCTCATCAGTTTGGATATGTGTCTTTGTGCCAGGATTCATAAGCTTCAATTCATAGCAATAGGCTGGAAGGATATAATAAGCCTTCTCGACTAATCCTCTAACGGACAATAGAGCTAACTCCCTTGTTTTCCAAGCTTTCGAATAATGGATGGTGAAACCAAAGTTGTGTTTCACATCTCTCATTATGTCACTTGGTGTGTATATTGTCCGAGAATCCTTCAACTTCCTTTTAAATGAAGTGGCTACAAGTGCTGCAGTTGCTTGACGATGGTCGTCATGTACGAACCTCAAATCACATTCATGGACAGCTGTACACCTCACAATCATGAAGTTTTATTCTCCAATTCTCGATGCTCGAACCTGCCATGGGCATGGACGTTGACAACAAACCAAAAGCAACCTCTTAGTGCAAGAGAATTGCACCTTAAATTCAAAGTGGCCTCTGAATTCCGTCAACCATAACTCGATCAACAATGCTCCCTTACTAGAGAAAATTTGCCCAACTGTAATTTTCGGATTCTAATCACTTCGCGAATACCTTGTGTCCAAATATGCTTCTCCATCATTTACATCGACCACATTGTACCGGTTCTGTTCACCCATTTGACTCAAATAATGTTCACGAGTGGGTTCAGATTCTCCTCCTAAATGCATTATTGACAATTGGGCAGATGTGTTCAAATGGCCCAAAATAGGAGGGGTAGAGTACACTGACACTTCATTTCTTTCAGTACCATTATCACCACCATGCATCTCCTCCACCTCGCTAAAATCAATCATGTCCATAAAATCTGTCCCAACATCACCTCCCACATCAGCAACATTTGTATCATTCTGAGTTACTTCATTGCTTTCAACAATGGCAGCTGAAGAACGACCCATCCGACTACTATCTATTGTGATATGCATACTATCAACTACATCATTTGTCAGTCCATTATCTTCTATACTCACGAGTAAGAGAGCTAGTTTTGAAGGTGTTACCTCACAATTGTACTTCATAAAAAATTTGACATCATCATCGTCCTCAATCTTTATGTGCTTCCACTCATTCGAGGCCACCAAAACTGAGAACTTTAAGCAAACCTTGTCTTCCCTGCTGTTTGTATTACCAATCTAATGCACACGATCCAACAGTTCAGCAAATGTGATGGTCCGTGGAACTATTAAGCTTTTTGAGTCACCCCCTTCGTATTTGCACATCTTCTTTGAGGTTACCCATTTTCCATTATAGCAAACCAGAATTACAATTGTCTCCATTTCTGACCATGAAAAAAATTATTTCATTAACACAATACAACCACAATAACCAGGCAATACAATGGCAATATAACAGCAATATAACATCAATATAACACTATATAACGGCAATATAACAGCAATACCACAGCAAAATAACAAGAACACAACAACAATACAACACTAACACATCAGTGAACAAGGATTCATCACAATCACACTCTACAAATCCACTACATCAAATGGAAAATCTAAAGTTTCAAGATTCAAATATCCAGAGTAATCTAAATGCAATTGGTAAAAGCCCAGATGGATGAGCATGAAGATTCAAAAAACCTAACCCAAAGCAATTACAGCCAAAACCAATTTAACAGAAACCCAAGCAATCAAAATAAAACCAATTTCACAGAATCCAACAGATATTAAGAAAATAACCATCAACACTACATATTCGAGTTCAGTGATCCAATAGAGCTTCAAGGTTTCCAACAGCTATTCAGAAGACATACCTAAAATATGGGGTCAAGGGAGGGGTTCGTGATTCAGAACAGAGAGCGAGACAGAGCTGCGAGAGATAAACCAATTTCGAAGAAACCCCTAAACCAATTTCATACAAATCCATACACCCTAAACCAAATTCCCAAAAATCCCAAATTTCTAAGAAAAGGACGATGAACAGTACCTTGTGGATATAAACTGTGGAGTTAAGCTTGTATGAACAGACACCGCTGAGGGAGGAAGACCACTGCGTCAGAGAGAGAGAGAGAGTTACACGAGAGAGATAGCTGAGCGATAGAGAAAGATGAAGCCAAGAGAGTTGAGAGAGAACACAATTTCTGAAAAAGTTATATGGGGGCATTTAGTCGACAATAAAGATGTATTTATAGGTGGTAGTTTTAAAATTTTAAGTAAATGGTGGTATTTTTAGAAAAAATTATAAAATGGGTGGCATTTTGAGCTATTTCCCTAATATATAACATAGATATAGGCTTTAAAATACACAATATATATAGGACGACGTCATTTTGACGTCGAGGGAAAGAAAAAAAGGAGGGAAAGAAAAAAAAGGAACCGCAAGCAGCGCTGCGTGCTGGAGGATGCTGCGCACTGGGGAGGAGTAGCGCTGCGCTCTCTTTGGGGACTTTCGTCGAGTAGTTTGCAGGGGTCAATTTTCTCCCCTCTAATGGTAGATCCCAGAGTTGCAGGAGTCACTTGACCACCTTTGCTCCTCTGTGGATCCGTCCTTGATGAGATGTAAGAGAAATTAAACAGGATCTCCCCACAGTGTAATAGTTTGCTTAAATTGCTTGAATTAATGAAAAGAAAATTAAACTTTTTCGATTAGGACCAATTCCAGTAAGCTTTATTTGTTGAGTTGTTTTGTTGACTCCATGTATGCAATTACTAGTATTTTAGTATTTGCATGTAGATGCGCAGTATGACTTGACAATTTATATGCAATTGCTTAGGGTGGATATGCAATTAGCAAGACTGCACGCATTAGCTCCCATAAAAAAATTCTTTTTTCATATGATGACTGATTTCTTTTAGCGCACATAGTTAATTACAAATGAAATGAACAGTTACATAGATGCAATAGATTTGAATATCTGATCTAGCTCCATCCATCTAATAGAAAACAAGCCGTGTATAGCACTATTCCTATGGTTTATTTACCAGCTCGTTGTAGATATGGGGTAGCAATCCACAAAAATCATAACAAAAAAATTTAGATACTAAATCAAGCAATCTGGAAGGACTTGTATTTCTAAGTGCTGTCTGGAACCCAATCAAGCAATTGATTAAAGCATTGGCTACTAAATCAATCATGATGATCTCAGAAATCCTAACACACCTTTCCACATAAAAAAGCCTTTTCTTTTTCGTTTAGCACAAATTCGTCGAATGCCTTACAAGTTGAGGAATAATGATAATGATAGTGATGAAGATGATGATAGTGATGAAGATAATGATAAATTTTTTACATTAAAATCTTATGATTACAATATATTAAAATCACAATTGGATGCACTCTCTTTAGTGACGTGGCATACTAGAGTCCACCTCCAACATGGAAAAATTTATTTTAAAATAATAAAATATATTATTAAACACCTTTTTTTTAAAAAAGTAAGAAAAATGTCCATTTTCTCTCTGTTGCCCTCCCTCTCTCTTCGAGCTCAAAATCTCTCTTCTCTTTCTCTCTTTCCAGCGCTCACCAACACCAATCCACCCATCGATTAACTCATTCCCTCATCCTTCATAGCTCCCTCTTCCTCTTTCTCTCTTCATATAATCCTAATCCCTAATTTCACCATTCATGATTCATCGGCTGCTTCTTGATCTCTAATATTGGTTTTTGTTGGGCTAAGGTTGGCGGTGGAAGCAGCAAGAGAGGGCTCGAATCTTGGGTGCAGATAGTAGATTTAGGGGCAGAGAGAGACATAGACAGAGGGATGGGGATTGGCTTTTTGATGGTAAGGGGAAAGTGACACACCAAATTTTGGTCAAGGGGCAAAGTGTGTACTTTAGGGAAATGTGGGATTTGATCAATAGTTTAAAGGGCATGTAGCAATTAAGCCAATAAATAAAAGGAATTTTTTTTTTATAAAAAAAATTTAAAATAAGAAAGGAAGAAGGAGAATTTAAAAGCCAAAAAAAAAAAAGGGGACAGGGTACTGTCCACACACTTTCTTTTTACTCTGCTTCTGCTACTTTTCTCTGTCAGTTCCCATCACCATATAGGTTCGTCATCATCTTCTTCTTCTTTAGAAAACCCAAACTCGTGGATGCTATTCATCACTCTAGAAGTCCGATTTTGAAAGCTCAAATCAGAAAACTTCCTTCATTAAAATTGTTCGTCTGCTCGAATATTATAACATACCCGAAAAGGAGCATCATCAGATCAGTCTAGCTACCTCGAACCGGCTATGACATTTCTGTGTTCATCCATGGCTGGTGAGTTTCTGCAGCTCGGTTTTCAACGGTTTTCTTTAATCTCCAGTGCTCGTTTGACAAAACGTCCTTCTCTAAGTTTGTTCCTCAGTTTTAGAACTATGACATATCCACAAATCAGAGCAATCCAACTACTCTAGCTATGTCTGTGGTAAGCATGTTTGTCACTTCCTCGAATTCTGCTATTATCACTGTACAATACCTTATTCACTCTTGTATGTCACTTTTCTTTTGCTCAGATGACAATACTTCCTTCATGAAGGTTGTTCATAACTCTTTTCTCTACAACATATCCAAAAATAGTGGCAGTCCAACAAGTGTAGCTTTCTCGGTAGTGGTACACCTGAAACAAGCTTTTGTTAGTTTTCAAGTGTTGTTTGAGTTTTCTCTTTGGGAGCTTCACCCAAGATTTCGGACCAATATTAAGGTAAAGTTTTAAGATGCTTTGATTTCTAGAATAAGTATAAGGATCAAAAGTGGAAGGATCAAAAGATAATTTAAATTATCTTAAGGTAAAGTTGAAAGGGGAAGGATCAAAAGATAATTTAAAATAAGTATAAGTGCCAAAGTGAAAATAAAGGAAAATGTAAGGACCAAAGTGAAATTATGGATAAGTCTGAAGACTGAAATGTATTGGAAAAAGTATTTGGGGGCAAAGTGAAAATAAAGGAAAGTATAAGGACAAAAGTGAAATTATTGACAAGTGTGAGGACTAAAGTGCAATTAAAGCTAGTTATAACTACTAAATTGCAAATAAGGATTGTTAGTAACAATTTTGAACCATTGGACTAGGAATCAGTTGCCCAAGCAAGAACAATTTGAATTCAAGGGTGCAGAATGCAAGTGAGTCATCAACTTTGGATTCTATGTAGGAGGACTCACTCCCGAACTTGTATTTTTGGATATGTATGACATAGTATAAATTGTTGTGTGTGAAAACTGCGATGTTTGTGATTGCCTAATTAACACTTGTTTTTCTTTATTTTCTTTACTATTTATTTATTTATTTTGTTGGGTGAGCAAAACACAAGTGGTTCCTTTACAAAAGTGGTTCCTTTAAACTGCGATTTATTTTGTCTATTACAATTAATCACATCATCTACCCCATTACTCCATTAAAAAATAAAAATAAA